GGGGTGCGGTGGCGCCATGCGAACCCTGTCACTTGGGCCTTCGGTGGAGCTCCCTCTGGGGCCACGGAACGTGTGAGAGGTGTGCCGAAATGGGCACGGTGGCGCCATGCGAACCCTGCCACTGGGGCCTTCGGTGGAGCTCCCTATGGGACCACGAAACGTGTGAGGGGTGCGCCGAAATGCGGCGGTGGCGCCATGCGAACTTTGCCACTAGGGCCTTCGGTGGAGCTCCAAATGAGGCCACGAAATGTGTGAGGGGTGCGACGAAGTGGGGCGGGGCTGCCATGCGGACGTTGCCTGCGCCGAAATGGGGCGGGGCCGCCATGCGGACGTTGCCACTGGGGCCTTCGGCGGAGCTCCCCATGAGGCCACGAAGCGTGCGAGGGGTGCGACGAGATGGGGCGGGGCCGCCTTGCGGGCGTTGCCACTGGGGCCTTCGGTGGAGCTCCCCATGGGGCCACGGAACGTGTGAGGAGTGCGCCGAAATGGGGCGGGGCCGGCATGCGGACAATGCAACTGGGGCCTTCGGTGGAGCTCCCCGTGGGGCCACGGAACGTGTGAGGGGTGCGCCGAAGTGGGGCGGGGCCGCCATGCGAACATTGCCACTGGGGCCTTCGATGGAGCTCCCTATGGGGCCACGAAACGTGTGAGGGGTGTGCCGTAAACAGATACATGCGGAGGGAAGAGGCGAGGGAGGGAGGAAGGGGGAGGAACGGAAGGAGGAGAGGAGGAAGGAACGCGGGGCGCTGTCTCTTCGAAACAAAAACCCATCACCACAGGATGGTTGAGAAAAACCATACAAACACACACTCTGCCTCCAGGTTTCAAGGGTGCGCGGCCAATCCGATGCGCCCCAACCAACCATCCCTTTCAAAAAACAACACAAAATACACTTTGGGGCAAAGTCTGGAATCCTGTTCGTGAGGCCCGCAGGCACGTTGTATTGTTTGTTTGACAGTGGGCGGCGAGGGTGTCAGCATATTCCCTGCTGCGCGCAGAGCTACCATCCCTGAAAAAATACAACATGCACCTCGCGGTCGTATCTGGATCATGCGCGGCCGCCCCACGATCACTGTCAAGTGATGGCGTATGATCTGCTGTGTGCAGGCTCACCAGAGATAATGATGAGCATTGGTTTTCGACTAGGATGGCGGGGGCCGACATGTTTCCCGATGTGTGCTGTCACGTGCGCAGGAGCACCTGACGCACTCTGCACGTGCCCCGAACGTGGCGCTCCTGGCGCGGCTGGAGTGTGCGGCACACCACGCGCACTCGGAGCACGTGGCGCACCTGGCGCATTAGGCGTGCCTGGCACGCTCGGGCCCCAAGGGTGCCTGGCGCGCGTGGCGCGCCTGGCACGCGTGGCGCAGCTCTCCCCAGCGTCGCGCACATGGGGTCGGAATTGGTTCCCAATAGCTGTCCATCCAAAGACGACCGCTGAACATGCTCAGGCTCGGGTGTTACTTATGTGTTGGGAGGGCGGGTGGGAGTGAGCTAGACGGCTTGCGGGCGGGTGGGTAGCTTGACCCCTCCCCCCTCCCCCCTCCCCCTGGACCTGGAACGAGGGGACCGCAGCGCGTCAGAGCGTCCAAGATGGCCTCGGCGAGAAGGCCAAAATCATTGATTGTACTACGGTGTTTACACAAGTTTGGCCTCCTGGGGGGGAGGGGGGGCTAATTAAGTACCTCCCCTTCGTTGATCGATCACCTCCAAGATGGCCCGATGATGGCCTCCGAGGCACCCAAGAGTGGAGTGCCCCAAAAGGGCCCCAAGAGCGCCTAGGAGGTCCCAAGAGGCCCCCAAAATGCCCCCAAGATGCCCCCAAGAGGCTCCCAAGAGACCCTCAAGAGGCCCGAAGAGACTCCTCCGAAGCACCCAAGACGTTTCAAAAGGCCACCGGGACCGCAACGAGGGCCCCAAAACGCCCAAACAGGCCTGCAAGAAGCTCTCAAGCGACATCCGGAGAGACTCCCAGAAGCACACAAGAGGCCTCTGGCCTCTCTGTTCGCCCTCCTCTTCCTCCTCCTCCTCCTCCTCCTCCTCCTCCTCCTCCTCCTCATCATCATCATCATCCGCCTCCTCCTCATTCCTCCTCTCTTCTCCCTCCTCCGTCCCCATCCTCCTCCTCATCCTCTGGTTCCTCTTCCATCCTCCCCCTCTTGGGGTATGACGGCTTCCCAGCCTCTTATCCACTGCGTGCTCCCCCACATGCCTGATTAGGCCAACTCGCCTGGGAATCGTTTCTGGATCGGCTGGTACGGGTTACGCGAAGCGCCTAGAAGATTGGTGTTCATATTGTGTGTCACGGGAATTAGGGATCTCACACTGCCGGGCTTCCGACAGCCGAAGACGGCCCCAGGGCCTCCAAGATAAATGCAGGTCGGCCCAATAATATCCCATCAGAGCCCCAAGAGGGCACCAAGACGGCCCAAGAGACAAGACCTCCAAGACGGTTCTAACATGCCCCAAGATGGTCCCAAGACGGCGCAGACAGGCCCCCAAGACGGCCTCCGAAGGCGTACGACGGGCCAAGAGAGCCCTAAGACGGCCCCAGAGGCCCGCAAGAAGCCCCCTAAGGCTCCTCAGATGTCCCCGAGAGGCCCATCGGAGGCCCCAAAAAGCGCCCAAGAAGCCCCAAGAGCTCCCCATGAGGCCTCGTCCTCCTCAACATCATCCTCCCCTCTCCTCCACCTCCTCCTGTTCCTCCTCCTCATCCACTTCCTCCTCCTACTCCTCCTCCGACTCCTCCTCCCTCTCTCCCTCCCTCCCTCCCTCCCTCCCTCTCTCTGTATATATATATATATATATATATATATCTTTCTCTCTCGCTCTCTCTCTCTCTCTCTCTCTCTCTCTCTTTGTATGTGTATATATAAATATGTGTATATATATATATGTATAGCCCTCTCTCTCTCCCTCTCTCTCTCTCCCGCTCTACTCCTCCCCCATACCTGGTGGAAAATGTAGCCCAATAGATTGGCCAAGCGTTGGCCCAACGTCTGGCCACATAGACGATTCCGATAGGCTGGAGGAGTTGATGGCTCGCGGTAAGCGGCGTCGATGCCACTTCTCCGCATCCTCATGGTTCCCCTCGTCGTCTCCTAACTCTGCGGTCTTCGGTGTTCCTTGGTCGTCCTTCCTTAAAGTGCGTTCCTCGAGGCTCCTTGGTAGTATGTCCTTACTGCTCGTTCCTCGGGTTGCTTGGTCAACGCCAAGCAACGCCAAGAAACGCCAAGCAATGCTAAGCAATGCGAAGCAGTGCAAAGCAACGCCAAGCAACGGCAAGCAGCAATGCCAAGCAATGCAAGGCAACGCCAAGCAATCAATGCCAAGCAATGACAAGCAACGCCAAACAAGCCCAGGCAATGCCAGAAATGTCAAGGAATGTACCTGTGTAATAAGAAGCTCTCCCCTGATTGGGGTCGCGCAGGATTCCTGATTCATTATTGGTCGAGGTAATCCTCCTCATCATCCTCATCCTCATCCTCCCCTTCCTCCTCCTCCACCAGCTTCCCCTCCCCCTCCTACTATCCCTACTCATTATCGTCGTCATCTTCAGCGGCCTCATCGTCATCAGCATCACGATTAGAAGCATCAGAATCATCCTCATAACCATCCATCATAATTTCACCTACTCCTGCCCATCGTCCTCATTGATATCAGTATAGTTTTTGCTAGCTCTCCTCCTCATCATCCTCACTTCCCTTACTCCCTCCACCTCCTGAAGATCCTCCTCTCTCCTCATCCTCCTCCACCTCCTTCTCCTTCTCGTGATCATCCCCTCTCCATCCCTTTATCGTATGAATAAATCGGTCCTGTCGCACCACCAGGACGTGTCCGTAGGCCGTGCTGGGCGCTTCGCGTGAAAATTCCTCGCGACTTACCGCTCGAAAGTTTCAATGTTACAATAATTACCCGCGTGGAGGGCCGGTGGCATTCTAAATGTGGCTCTCGCCGTAGCGCCGCACACATTCGTCGCAGAAGCTCCCAACAATTACACGGTTGCAAGGCCGGTGGCTGTCAAAATGTGCTTCTCGCCTCTGGCGACGCGCGCACTCATTTTGAAAACTTTGACACGTGCACGGATGGAGGGCCAGTCGTTTTCAAAATGTGGCTCTCGCCTTAGCAGCGCGAACATTCGCCTTAAAAGGTCTCTCGCCCGAGGCTTCCACACAAATGTTACAATGTAAGGTCTGAAACAGTTACACCGAAGGAGGGGGGCGCCATTTCGAAATGGGGCTCTCGCACGAGGCCTCGTAGTTAATACATGTGCAACCGATGCGCGGATGCAGGACGGGTGCTTTTCGAAACGGGGCTGTCGCTAAGCACTCCTTCAAAGAAGCCCACCTTGTCGCGGTTCCTGTCGATCCGGAGGATGGAAGCCATACATTCATCCTGTTTACCTGTTTACCTCTTTACCGGGTGATCTACCAATCTCTGATACCCCGCTGCTTCCGTGAAAAGATGAAGCATGTGCTACGCAGATATCGGAAAATGCATTACATCACGATCTAACAACATCCTGTCAGACACTGCGTTCAAAGGAACGTCGTCGACCTGAATTGCGGACCCATGGGGCGCTCGTCGTCGAGTAGGGGTAGGCCTTAGGACAGGAAGGTAGATTGCAGCATCGCTGATATATCTCAGGGTTACTCTGCTCATCCTCACCCTCCTCACCCTCGTCCTCGTCATAACTGCCACCGCCACCATCATCATCATCATCATCATCATCATCATCATCATCATCATCATCAGCATCATCATCGTACGGCAGGTGCGTGCTGTGGCGAACCCCAGAGTACCAAGTGGATCGTTCAACGTTGAACCATCGGCGGCTCATCGATCGCCAGATCCTCCCATGTTGGCCGACTCTGGACCACTGGTGGCGTTCAACCTGGAACGCCCACAGCGGGGTCGCCGCCGCGTCGACACGACGCGAACCTGCCGTGATCATGATCGTCATGACGCTTCCTCGTCTCAGGTACAGCCGGCGGAGGCTCCACGAGGCCCTCCGCCTTGGCCCTGGCGGCGCACTGGCGCTCGAAGCGGGCGATGTCGTCGCCATCGTCGGACTGACCTGCGAGCGACGTCGTCGGCGTCGTCGCCGTCGGCGGCGGCATCGCCGTCGTCGGCGTCGTCGGCGTCGTCGCCGTCGGCAGCGTCGTCGGCGTCGTCGGCGGCGCGACGTCGCCGCCACGTCGCCGCCACTCGAAGGGAGCGAGGGCCGCCCGCCGGCGCGGCCGGGCAGCCTCCCTGCCACGAGGGAAGACGGGGGGGCTGCCTGGCCGGAGGCCCGGAAGTACAACTGGGGACCCGCGGCGACGGGGCCGCGGGGAGCGCCCCTCCAGGCCACGCAATCAACCCGTATGATAAGGATGCGGGATAAGGATGCAGGGGCCTTGGACGCCCATGTCGGCACTCTGCGAGCGGGGCGCGGCCGGCAGAAGCGGCCAGGGAAATTATGCAAGGGTAGCCTTGGGAAGGTTGCCAATCCTTACCATGTGGGTCGACTGCACCACCCCAGCACCCTGCCGAGGGAGCAGCGGGCGAGCGGCGAGAGGGGAAAAATCCAGGCGGGGCACGCTCCACGCCTCTCCACGCCACGTCGCGCGGCTGCGCCTTTGGGCCAAGAGCAAGGCGCAAGAGAAGCTATTTCCCGGGCCCTCCCGCCAACCCGTGCGACCTGCCGCACCAGGCCGCGGGATGAGCACGGGATCCGCCCCGAGGAGAGGATCGGATCCCACGGGGGGGGGAGGGGCCGCGGCAGACCTCCCTCCCGCGAGAGAGGACGTAGAGAGAACGACCGCCTGCCCAGGAGGAGGAGAAGGAGGAAGGGAGGAGGAGGAGGAGGAGGACGAGGAGGAGGAGGAGCGGGAAGAAGCGAGGAGGAGCGAGGAGGAGACCTCGAGACCCCCCCTGGACGGCGACGGCGGCGGCCGCCAGCGCCGCGCCGCCGACCGCTCAGCTCCGCGCCACCCTCCAGCTCCACCATCGGCCAGGGGCGAATGCGGCGCGCGCCTCCGCGCGCCAGGGGGGGAGGAGGAGGAGGAGGAGGAGGAGGAGGAGGAGGAGGACGAGGAGGAGGAGGAGGACGAGGAGAAGAAGGGAGGAGGAGGAGGAGGAGGAGGAGGAGGAGGAGGAGGAGGAAGACGAGGACGAGTATGAGGAGGAGGAGAAGAAGAAGAAGAAGTAGACTAATAATAAGAAATAAATAAATAAATAAATAAATAAATAACAATAATAATAATAGTAGTAATAATAAAAAAAATACTAATAATAATAATGATAATAATAATAATAAGGATAACAATAATAATAATAATACTAATAATAATACTAGTAATAACAATGATAATAATCATAACAATAGTAATAAAAATAATAATCACAATAATAATCATAATACTAATAATAGTAATAGTAATCATGATAATAATAATCATACGAATAGTAATGATAAAAATAAAAAGAAATTAAGAAGAAGACGAAGAATAATAAACATATAAGCAATAACTATAGTAACCATAATACTACTACTAGCAATACTGGAGGAGGAAGAGGAGGAGGGAGGGAGGAGATGGACGAAAAGGGAGGAGGAGGAGGAGGAGGACGACGACGAGGAGAAGGGATGAGGAGGAGGAGGAGGAGGAGGAGGAGGAGGAGAAGGAGGGGGAGGAGGAAGAGGAGGGAGGAGGAGAAAGAGGAGGAAGACGAGGAGGAGGAGGAAGAGGAGGGCTGCGATCGACGATCACTTTACCCACCAAGAACAGGAAAAGGAGGAGGAGGAGGAGAAGGAAGAGCAAAAGGAGGACAATGTTCAACCCAAGACGCATCAGCGCTGTGGGGATAAACCCTCTTTCAAGCTCCCTCTTCACAGGCCCTCACAATGATTCGTTTCCACTGAGGAGAGTGCCCCGTTGGGAAACAAACGGTTGAAGATCGCGAATCGTGCCAAAGCACTATTCCCGGGACTCCAGCGCCACGAATCGATATGATGTGCCAGAACACCACCCCTGGGACTCCAACAACACGAACCAACGTACCTGTTGCGACCTGACAATCCTGAATCGTTCCAACGCGCCATGTTTGGACGTTGGCCATGGGAACCCGCAAAACTCTTGTGAATGTTGCAGACGAATGTGCGCCGCGCTAAGGCGAGAGCCGCATGTTGAAAAGGATCCGCCCTCAACATGTGAAGCGATTGCACATATTTAAGGCGAATGTGCGCGGCGCTAAGGTGCGAGCCACATTTTGAAACGGCCAGCCCTCCACTCATGAAGCTCATGTGTGAAGACGAATGTGAGCGGCGCTACGGCGAGAATCACATTTTGACAACCGCCCGCCCCACATCTGTGAAATTGCTCCCGGCTTCCAACCTTGAGAATCATAAAGGGCAAGGAAGTCTCAGGCGAAACGCCCAGCCCGTCCTTTTGACTGGCCTCGGAGCGCGGCAGGGAAGAGTTATCCACAAGTGAAAAGAATGAGGGGGAGGAGAAGGAGGAGGAGAATAGAGGCCTCCTAGGCGGGGTCTGAGTAGATGATGGGGTCGGAAGATTTCGCCGCATCGCCATCGTTTCCTCCGCTGCCCTCGCTCACAACCCCCCCTCTCCCACTCCCCACCTTCCGTATCCTTCATGGCGGGGCGGGGTGGCTCGCGCTTCATGCCCCGCACCCACAGGTCGCCTGCACGAAGAGCATGACAGGGTACTCCAGATCTCACCATAAAAAGGGGGTCTGATTTGGGATGGGGTCAGATTTGAGCTGTCTTGGAAGGTTCCAGTGGGTCTGGGCAAAAAGCCGCCTTTCATGGCCTGTTTGGGGGGGTCTGGAATTGCCCGTCTGTGAGGGTTGTGACCCCCTCCCTTTTATGGCGAAATCTGGAGTATGCCTTCCTCTCGCCCCCCCACACACACACACACACACACACACACACACACACACACTCCTCACTCCCCACTCCCTTCCTCCCTGCCCCACTCCTCACTCTGCCCTCCGCACTCCTCTCTCCCTTCCTCTCTGCCCCCACCCCCACTTCACACTCCTCACTCGCACTCCCCACTCCACACTCCCTTCCTCTCTCCCCCTCCACTGATCACTCCGCACTCACTCCCACTCCTCTCTCTCTCTTCCTCTCTGCCCCCACCAGTCCTCGCTCCTCACTCCCCATTCCTCTCTCCCTTCATCTCCCCCCCCCTCCTCACTCCGCGCTCCTCAACTCCTCCCACTCCCCTCCCCGACCGCACGCTACAGCCAGAAGGCCGCCTGCGGGCACCGCGGGGGCGCCGGCCGCGGGGACGGCCCACCCTCCCCGCACGCGCACGCGCGCCCCGAGGGCCGACCCTGGGGAGCTCGACCCATCTGCGGGAACTGGGGCGAGGACAACGGCGACGACGTCCTCCGCCCTCCGCCCTCCTACTTTCTGCTCCCTGCTCCCTCATCCCTCCTCCCTCCCTCCCTCCTCCCTCCTCCCTC